GCCTCGTCCAAGCATCCACCAAAGGTCACAACTGCATCCAAGTTCGACCGCCAGACGGATCGAAGGTACAATTATGTAATTTTATTGACTTAATATCTAAGCATACTTCTACAGATCTTATGGCGATCGCCGATACATGTTTGAACACCCGGTTGTTCCTAAGCCTCCCACGATTGCTCACGGAACAGCGCGTCCTCCCTGCGATTGGGGTCGCAAAGAAAATGAGGAGCTTGAACAACTTCGGTCTGTACAACTATGGTGTATTTCAGAATTACAATTACACTTTTCTTTTTGTTTACAGCAAAAATCTTGAGCCGCCAAAGTATGTGGAACAAGTCCGTGCTGAAGGTGATGCTGCAAAGCCACCCGTCGCTCCAATTCCACTGCAACTACCGGAGAAAGATTTTGAGGACGAGCCAGCCGAGCCAACGGAGCCAACGGAAGCAGCGGAGGTTGGCATCGTAGAAATGCAGCTTCAGGCAGTTTGTTGATTCATGGTGAAAATACTACATTGTTGCAGGAAGAAGCTGCAGCTCCTGAGGAAAAAGCTGCCGCCTAAGCTCATCCTGGAATCAGTGTCATGTTCTTATTCTACTCGCTTACATAAATATTACTTAGAATCTCTGTTTGTATTTACATGCAAACAACGTCAATGTTGGATTCTGACATGGGAACACATACAAAGACAGTTCACCATGGTGGTTCTTTTTTCATGCGTAAGCTGGCAAGCAACTAGATTTCAAGAATAGAAACAGCTTCATTATTATTACGAAAATTATTTTAAAATCCATCACCTTAGATTCGAAACGAATACTTGAGTTGTTTCAACTGCATATTAACCACTCAAGTAGTCGTTTCGCAACTGCATAGCTACCCTACATGCAAGTACAGGTTTCTAAGATAAAATGTTATCCAAAAACTGCTTGAATCTTCCAAGTAGCACAATGCTCGATCCATTACCATGCACAGTAATAACAAAAGCCAAATTTATTCAGTAATTTAGTCATCAAAAGCTCATACTGGAAATACTCATACTTGCGATTCAACAAAGAAAAATATGATTAGTCGTACATATATCAAGCTTGAAACGGAGAATCAGCAACAATAGTGACGACTTTACTGAAAACAACACAGCGATCGTAAAACTTGGAGGGAACAGCGATGTTCGCAACATTTTTGTTCCAGCAACCGCTCGCGAAGCACTGGTATATCTGGCTCATTCATATCTGAAAAACGAGTTATATACTCAAAAAGTCCCATCTTCAATTACAAAAATAAAAAGGGGGATTGACTTCTTGGTGCACAGGGATACCGTGACCGCGTTTATATATGTACATGCAGAATAAGCAGAGCTGTACTTTAATATTTCTGATATCCTTTATTCCTCAATTGTGAAAACAGCAAACACTAACCAAAAAGCTCCCTGAATGGTTCGCATTCTTCTTCAGTTATCCCACGACATTGAAAATTCATTGCAATGTTGAACTGACGCGCACAACGTCGTATCCTTGATTTTACAATCTATAACAAAAGATTGAATGATTAAGATGAAACAGTAGAAGGACGCATTTAGCTAGCACATCTTAGAAATCGAACAGCTGCACAACCATTGCTTTATGTCAAGTACCTGTTGTAAAATTGGGGAAAAAGCAGTAACCCAGCTGAACTTTGAGAAACGTTAAACTCCTACTTCAAGTACAGTTGAAGTTCTCATGCGTTGACAGTTCGCTGTGATTAAAGTCAGAATGCAGCCTAAGCTCCTAGATAACAAACAGGCACTTTCATTAGCATTCAATATTGTCACCATTTGGGAGAAAACATGAAAATGAGTTATTGTATCGATTATTTGAGGGATTCGCAAACTTGTCGGGGGTAGCTGAGGCCCCTAAGTAAGAAGCTTTATCGGTTCTTAGCCATTGAAAGGAGCTCTATTTTTATACAAGTCACTTCCTAATTACAGGTAACATTGCCATCTAATATCATGTCCTTTTGTCAAGTCTATGAATAAAGCAACTCAGAGATATTTGAAGAGTGTTTAGTTAAATGATACTTAGCCAAAATTTTGAGTTTTTCAGGCAAATGAACGCAAAATTGAAACTGCACATTTAGAAATTACGATGAACTTTGTAAGTGTCTTATGTTGTGATTTGTGGGAAGTGCCTATTCAAATTTGTCAAGTCTTATTCGTACAGCTTCAATCATAGATGTCTTTTCCAACAAAAAAAAAGCGCTTCATTTTAAATTTGCATCTGACACCTTTTCGAAAGTGACATTGAGTAGTGTTGCGCTACCGCTACCCATGTAGCTATTTATATTTCCCCGCGCTTATCCATGACGTGGTGTTTTCAAATGGGTGTGCACAGGCCGCGAACACGTTCGCTTTTTTTTCTTTCTTTACTGCTGCATTCGTGGCATATGTCTGGCATTATTCGTCAGGCACTTGCACTAAACAAAAGCTCATAGCGCGTCCACATAGCCATGAAAAAAGAGAAGAAATATTGTATTTGAGGAGGGGAAGCACTCTTTTAAAATACCTTTCTTTCGCAATCACCACTCGATAAATTGCTGCTGGATCTGTTCTCATAATTATTCGTATCTCGAATGACGAAAAGAAACAGCTGTCAAAGGGCAAGTTTTATACTCCGTTAATGCACTTCGAACTTGCATGCCACTTTGTCTCGTGCAATGGTTCGGTTTCATAGAGTAACTACTAGAGATTCGTCACAACATTTTTGACAACGTTCGACAACAGTTCCACATGTCTGATCATAAAATGAACCAGGAGCTAAAGATGCTAAGAGTTCACGTCAAACTTCTGACTCTCAATGCCAACTGCGACTACATTAATTGCAATATTGCTGCAACAGTTGCTAACAGAAACAACTTCTGAGATACCCCAAAGGCATATAAGGGCGACATCGCAAATGCATCTAAATCTTCGCCTAAGGGGGTTATCTGGTACGCTGATCATGAAAATCCGCTTTTTACGGTAGCGTCTTACTGGAAAAGTACTCTAAACGTACGGTAGGCATCCGTCAAGAGGTCACATTGCGATTCCGACTGAAACTTCGCTCAGAGACATTTTTCCATATGCCAATCATGAAAAAGCTATCCATTAGTCACAATCACGCCTTATCGTAAAGATACGGTGACACATATAGATGGGAGATCAAACTGCAGATTCGCCCAAATCCTCGCCTACTTAGGTTATCAGATACGCCCATAATGAGGAGCAGTCATCAGGGTGCTGCTTCACTGTGGAGATACGACTTGTAATCATCCTCTCGCAATGCGAATTTATCATAGGCCACCTTGAAATTTATTACTTCTATCTTTGACCTATAAAGCATGACCCCTTTTTTTAGCGATCAGAGGCACTTCTTTGTTTTTTTTTCTTAGCTAAACTAC